GTTCCGGCATCGCGGGACTAGCGGAGGGCTGGTTCATTTTTGCAAGAGCTGGGCTCCCTGTGCTCGTCTGAAAACCACACGTTTGCTTTTTTTGCTGCTTACCTTGTGTTTGGACCCTGTTTATGGCTTATTTTTCAGTCTCGTGCTCTGTTCCTATTTTAAAGTGTAATTATGAGCCCCTGTTGAAAAAAATTTGAAAATACCGTCTTGATGACGTGGGGTTTTTTCTTTTTTTTTAAACTAATAAAAGTCTTTTCTCTGTTCAAGATATGAAATATAACTGGAGAGAGAGACAAGAAAAACTTTTTTAACTCAGTGACAATGTTTATTAATACGTATCTTATGATCCCATGCAGGTGCTTAGAAAAAGCCTTCAAAGGGGGTTAGTGCTCTCAACAGGGTCCTTTTTGGTTTACGAAGCTCACAAGCTGATTTCTGGCTTTGCTGAGGTTCATGCAAGCTTCAAAGGTAACATTTTCAAATTTTGAAGTACATAGGTTATTCTAATGCGAACCTTAAAATTCCTGGTGCCAGAATTATATAGGAAAATGGTGCAACGCCTTTGATTTTCTCCATTAAGATTGCATGCAGTGTGTTTCCATGACAGGATGCTTTTGAATTGGTTCAAGGTAGCCTTGTAGCAGTTTAAGAAGGGATTCTTTAAAGTGTCTCGCTGAAAGCAGATCTAGTAGCTCATTCTGTCTAGGATTTAACACACACAGAGTGTATGATACCTAGTTTGTTGCCCAAGCTTTAAAAAACTTACTGAGAAAGATACGGTTCAGTTAGGCATGCAGACCAAGCCTTAATCAATTTCTAGAAGTCTTCGTTCAGATTTTCATATTGAACGCAGTGCAATTCCCATTTAATCTAGTGGAGCAGCACTGAGATTGCATTTCAAACACAATTGAGCAATGTCTTGTATTTTTGTCACACTAAAAAAGGGGAAGAAAAGCCTTGCTTTACCTACTGGAAACGGAACAAGTGATAAAATGGCCTTTTCAAGATCTGAATAAAGGTAGTCTCACTACTAGAAGAAAAGTAACATTATCTTAAAAGGGGATACTGTTGCAGACTTAGAACTTGTATATCACATGGTAAATTAAGGGTTTCTGAGGGTAAGCCTAACTGAAACGTGTGCTTACTGTGTAGATTAGATAGCAGTCAGTTCAGATAACCTGTTTCTCTGTGTCTCAGAGAGAGGAATATCTTAGCTGTTTATGCTGATAGAAATAAAGATTCAGACAATAGACTTTTAAACGGATAAGGAACTGTTCCATTTGCTGTAATAGAAGTAGGTTCAATGAATAGATTTTAAATAACTACTTGGTACAAATATAAGAAAATTTCCCCTGAGGAACATAAGTAACACTACTTAGTTGCCTCTGGTCTTTTTTACTGCTCTCATTTGAATCTGGCATTTACATTGCCAAGCAAAGCAATGTTAGTGTGCTTTCTATGCGAGACAAGCAGTAGATACGTTGAAAATGAGAGTAAAAAAGAAACACCTGAAAAATACTATTAAAGAAATAAAACTCTAGTAGCTTATGTAAAACACCTGGTATGATATGTGCTCAGAAGTTTGCATTCTGAGCATTTAGTCATTAGATATGTTAGTAGTGTTCAGGGAGTCTCAACAAGCAAACATAACAGTTCACTGAAGGTAATACTGAAGATGTACCATGAAGCTAACTGTAGACACTAAAATCCAAAGTCCACATAGACCGTTACCTTATCTTATCTTTGAAACGGTTGATAGAAGGCATTTAGAGATGGCAGAGTTAAAAATTAGCCAGAATGTTATCTTATCTTCAGTAATTTATATTCTAGGATCTTTTTAAGCTGAAGAGGAGGCTTTTGTGTTTAGTAGCCTTCAATGTTTTTTTCTTCTATAAGTAAGACTGTACTGCTGTGAAACATCACTACCATATTCAGTAGATAACTTGAAAAAGAAAGCTTATAAACAAGTGTCCTGGTTTTGGCTGGGACAGAGTTAAACCACAACAACAAGATTAATTTTTACAAAGCGGGGGTGGGAGAGCTTATGTTTTGACTTAGAAGTTTTATCACAGCCCCAGGAGTAATACCAAGGAGACTATAAGCATAGCTGGAAGTTCTGTAAGAAATTAGACAAGGCTTTTGACTTTCATGTTTCAATGTTGGCAGAAGAGTAAACTCAAGAGTTTGTTCTTCTCCTGTACAGTTCTAACACTTCAGTAGAATTATCTACCTGCTTCCCTTTGGGTATTTTTTTATCCTAATTCCATCTAATTGTTATGCTAGAATCCTGTATTGTGTGGTGATTGATATCTCTGTTTCTGGAAAGCAATTGTGGAAATTGTACTCCCCCATTTCTGTTGTGCTTTAAAGTATTCTATAGAAAAACAGTTAAGGTTATCGTAAGAATAATGGGTAAGTTGTTCATAAATTGATACTCTAGAAAGCCAGTTCTGATTTTTCAAATTATTTTTGCTTTTAGTATCTTGAACACATAAAGTTTTCAGTAGATGAACTGTATTTTTTGTAGTCATGTTTGAAAATCTTGAGGATTTCAGTCAGAAAACCTTTCAGCAATGTTTCATTTTGGCTTGTTGAGTAAGATAATGGGACCCTCTCAATCTCTGGTTATCTGGGCAAAATTATGGAACCATACTGAGAATGAGAGTATTTAGAAATATTTTTTTTTCCCATTTTTATTACTAGATTTAAATTCTGTACATAAACTAATGAAGGGGGTTTGTTACTCTCGGATCTCTACTGCACTTGCCCTCCTGGTCATATTTTTCATACTTTGTGAAAATGGCAGAAAAGGAAAAAAAAAAAAAAAGAAGACGAAAACAAATTGCTTCTAGTAGTCTGATGCATTGAGAAAGATGGTTTTGAATGTTAAATCCATTAAGCATCTGAAGCTGTGTTGCTGAAAGCTGTTTTGTAGTTTCATGAGAGAGGCATGCATTCAGCAGTGTTTCTCTTCTTAGTTGTTCATTGTAAATGTAGCTTAGCCAATCCTGCTGTGCATTTAAGTTGTTTGGAATGATGGCCTAAAAAGGAACTACAGCATTTATTCTTTGTGTTTCAGCTAGGTTGTCTTGCTCTAAAATGTTTTGGTTTTGCTACAGTGTACTAATTACTTGTAATTTGTTCTTCTGTTTCCACAATTTTCATTCCTTCTTAAGTGGAAGACGTTGTAGAGCAAGCAGACTACCTGTATGGGAGTGGAGAAACTGAAAAGCTGTATCGGTTGCTGGTTCAGCATAAAAATAGGTACATGATTGCATTGAGACCTTATTGTGAATTCTTTTCTGTGCTCTTCTGTATCGGTTTTTCAACTAGTGTTCTCATTGTGGTATGCGGGAGAACCTTGCTTTCATCCTCGTGTAAGTAGGAAAGAAGGACTCTCGATCTTTTTCCTTCTGATGGAAAAATGAACAAAGAAAGGACTGGTAGCTGTAGAAGATGCGGGTTAATAGTCGAGTTTTTCAGTCCTGCGAAGAAGGGGTTTTTGTGTCTTTGTTTTCTTACTCTAAGAATCCTTTAAAAGTGAGGGTTAATAGTCGAGTTCGAATTTCAGTCCTGCAAAGAAGAGTTTTTTGCGTCTTTGTTTTCTTACTCTAAGAATCCTTTAAAATATAATGCAAAAACTCAATGTGTCTATGCATTACTAAATAATCAAAGTACCTAGAATTCAGGTATTGAAAATTCTGGGGAGTCACTATTTCATTTCTTTTTCATTGCTGACCAGCTGTTTTTTCTGGTTTCATTTGTCTTGTTAGGATTTGAGTCTGAACAAAAAAGGTTCTCCACTCATCTAGTTAGGTCTTAACTGCACAAAACATTATTGATAAGTGAACTGGGACAAGCTGTTTAAAGGAAGAGCACAAAATGCATTGCAAACTGAAGAGTCCATTCCTTTGGGGGAGACCAGGCTCGTTCTTGCCAGGGTTGCAAGTATAAAGCCTGGGAAGTTAAATGAAGGTCCTAGCCCGTACAGGGCACCATGTCATAAGCAAGGGTAAGCTTGCTACTAGGTGTACAACAATACTAATTATTCTCTGAGGAGTAATGATTCCAGTAGCAGTACTTAACATTTTTGTGACTCGACTGAAAAATGAGTCTGCTAGTTCTGTGTTACTGTGTTCATTAGAGCAGGACGGCTGTGCTGTGAGCCTCTGAAAGACTTTCTAAACTTGAAGTCTCTCTTAAAATAGTAAGCCCAAATTAAAATGGTAGTTATTTAAAAGTATAGTAAAGTACAAACAAAGTTTCAAAACAATGTTAACAAAAGAATAAAACTTAAAATCCCTTATCTTTGGCTATAATATACCATACGCTATTTGATATAGTGATATATACAAATGTACAGCTTTATGTCATGGTGGTATGGCTAATCTGTATTTCCTCACTGTTGTTCTGGGAAGAATTTCATTATTTAGGTACAATTATAGGGAAAAAGATGCATAATATTTTGAACATTCCTAGTAAACATTAATATCATGTCAGTGGAATGCTGCGAAAAATACCATCTAGCCAAGAACAAAGAAGTCCTTGTTTTCCTTCTGGTGTGGTACTGTTGGTTTTTTTTAAATCTGCGTCTTTTTTTTTTAGAAAACAAAGTCCTTTCCTACAGATATTTTTGCTTCACAGACCAGAATGGCAGAACAAAGGTATCATCAGTGTATAAGGGAGGGCTTTAATTTGTTGTTTGCTACCTTGGGGTTGTATAGAATCAGAGATGGTATGCTGTTGTCTTATCTCCCACTTGAGAAACCTATTGAAAGGCTTGTTTAAGACCTTTGCTTGCTTTGTTTCCATTATTGCTTTAAAACGCTAGTGTTTCTGTTCATAACCAGTGATGACGCAGAGTTGTTATGGCGGCTGGCGCGGGCATCACGAGATCTGGCTCAGCTTAGTAGCACTTCTGCAGAGGAGAAAAGACAACTGACATATGAATCCCTTGAGTATGCAAAAAAGGCACTTGAAAAAAATGAAACAAATTTTGCAGCACATAAGGTGAGCCAAGCAAAATAACTTAACTGAAACCTTGTTCTTTGATTTCTGCCAGTAGAGACTGGAACAAATGTCATTGTGCTGTTTCGGCAAACTTCAGCATAATGTAACTTTTCAGTTGAGAATGAGTGAGATTTCTGATTCTCCCTAACCTTTTGGGGATATCAGAGTTCAGACACTTGCAGCTAAATTTCCTGTGTACAGGAAGCAGGAACTGGTTAAATGTGTGCAGGGCCATGGAAAGAGATGACTGATCAGGTTGATTACAGCTGATGTAATCAGCTCATCCTTCTCTGGTGTAGCCTTAAAAATGGTGTACATGCCCCACATTCAGCTTGCTGTTTCTGGGCACAACAGTAGCCCTGCAGAGGGTCACTGGAAACTCTTCAGGCGCTGGCTTTGTTCTGCTCTGTCTTCTTGTGCTGCTTCTCGCGCAGGCAGAGAGGTAACAAAATATAGTCAGTTGTGTTGGCATCTTGGTTAAGAAGAGGACACCGATTTCCCTTACACATGCAGAGCAGCCGTTGCTTTGATGCTACCTGAGCTGTTCGTAAATACTTCTTGCTTGTTGTCGTTAGTGGTGGTGGTGGCGGCAGCTGTTCTGTGGTTTGTTTTGGTTTTTTGTTTTTTTTAATTTACTATTAATAGCTATTAGTGCTGTACTAAATGTTTTATTTTTGTTCTTTGAATTACAGTGGTATGGAATTTGCCTCAGTGATGTGGGAGATTTTGAAGGAATCAAGACTAAAATTGGAAATGCCTTTGTGATCAAAGAGCACTTCCAGGTAATGTAAACAGTTTTTTGCATACGACAGCATTAATGCCTCCAGTATGTACATTGTGTGACAGTTGTGAACTATTTTTTGGCAAAAATTTGTAATGTACTTCTCTTCAAATCTGGTGACTCTTTGGGTTATTGTGCCAGTCCTGAATGGCCCAGCAACAAAGAGTACAAATTATCTCCAGCAGTAAACTAAGTCCCTATAGAAAGGAGCTATGAAACAGCTTAAGTGCTTTTGACGCCTCTTAGGCCTAGCTAAAATGTAACTGCTATTGAGAAATGGATGTGTGGCCATCCTGTAACTGTGGATTGTGTAACAGTAAAGGACAAATTCCGGAGAAGATAAAGGACTACTCATTTTATATCACCAGAAATTGTACCAAAATTTGAATACGCTGTTAATAACCTACTAAACAGAAGTGCTTAGAAATCCGTCTTCAGTTTTTTGAATGTGAGCCGATTTAGTCGTGCACTGAATGAATACCGTATCGCCTTGAAATTCTACACACTGTTAATCTGGTTTAATTAACAGTAGGATAACAAGTTACTTTTTTTAATGTGTTTTAATCCAAATGTGGCAGAACAACTTTTTACATCTTGTGTTTGGTTTTTTTTTTTTCCCCCCCCCTCACTAGAGAGCCATTGAACTGAATCCAAAAGATGCTACAACAATTCATCTTATAGGCATTTGGTAAGGCATATTGTCAAACAAAAGTTAACATGTGGCAAAGAAAAATGCCAGAATAGAAAATGTCTTGTATGAATTGCAGAAATGCTTGGAATAATTCAGTGGCTTGTTATTAGTTGATGCAACATGAAATCCTATTGAACTGGTATAGGATGTCATGCCTTAAGAAGTCTGGCTGTTAATTCATATGCACTTCAAAAAGATGAAAAATAGTTGTTCACTCAATTTATTTGTTTTACTGTATGGAACTGTTAAAAACCCGTTTTGCAGACCTAAGTACGTTTCCATGGCAGACATCAGAGCTACTGAGTAGTACTCATTTTGTTCTACTGGTGTGAATGGAGACAAAACTCACACACTGATTTTACATTGAATTTCAGTGATGGCTGCAACGTAATACAATCTGTGTGTAATGAAAAGCTATCAAAAGTGAGATGTGTTCCTGAAATACTTCCATTATTATCTGTCATGATACTGTATTTTAAAAGTTATATGTAAGGCAGCTTATAAATGCATATGTGTTAACAAAAATCTCTGAAATTTAACTTAACTGCTCAGTGAAATTGGTAGTAAGAATTACTGTTAGTAGCAGGTGAAGGGATGGGAAATGCAACTTCCCATACTAACCAGGACATTCCGTGGAAGCAGTGTGGTTGAAAGTAGTATCTTTTATGTGTTAGTGAGAGACCCCAGACAGCATTTCTCATTAGTTGTCTGAAAGAGACCAAAGCTGCTACATTGTTTTATAGGAAATCTCTTCTGTAAGACTGGGAGATTGAAAATAAACAAAGCCAATATATTTGTAGCTTAAAAAAAATAGTCAAACCCACAGCCACCTTCTCTGTATGTTTTTCTCTCGACTCTTGAGTATCAGAGTAAACTACAATCTAGTGCTCCAGAATTTTTTATTAGTTTACAAACTTACTTCATTTTTTCAGCATCTGCTGCTCATTCATACATGACCTAACAATTGCAGTAGTCCAAGTTTCTAAACAGAAGCGTATGGTACCAACTGAATGAGCTTCAAGGTCAGTTTTGAGGTAGGAAGCCTGTTCTGGAAAGTACTTAAGACATTGTTCCTAAGGAGAATTAGAAAGCATGATCAGGAATGGGAGATTATTATTGGCACTAAAATATCCCCATATTATATATTTAAATATACTCATTATTGCTTCCCAGAGCGTCCTCATCTGAAACTGGGATTTGGTATTAGCCAATTCCTGAGTATTTTTCTCCTTTCCAGTCTGTGCTAGAGTGAACCCCTTCTATTGGTAGTTCTGATAAGGCACATCTGTTGGCAAAATTTCAACTCAGACTGTGTATTCCATGCCTCGCCCCCCGTTCCTCCAAACACTTCCATATTTGCACTTATTAATTTTTCACCTCCTCTAGAGTGCTCTATTTTACACAGTGAATAGTATTTTTATACTCATTGTGGGAGGGTCATAAGGTGAAGAGCGTTGTTTAACGTTGACACCTGAAATGTCCTATATTTGAAGTACTTAACAAATGTTTAATCCTGGCAGCATCTCTAAGATAGGTGACTGAGATTACCTTTGTTATCTAGTAGCTAGGAAAAGAGCATAGAATGGCCTAGCCTAGAACACAGTAGTTTGATTCTTGGGTTTCAGTTTATTTTCATTCTTACAGATCAGAGTCTTTCGAAAATGTACTGCAGATCTGCTTTATATTAATAATTGAGAAAAACAAGGTAGTGTTGAGGTAAGGCAATGGCATCACTCAGTTGTGCCCTGGTTTTACAAATGCATTAGAACAATATCAGATACACATAAATTGCTAAAATCATTCAAGCTCAAAAGCTGTCTCATGGTTAATAACTGTCTCCAGTTTTGTCTAATGTAGTAGCAGTTCCCAGTAAAAGACACACCAAAAAACACACATAGCTTCTTTATCAGAGCTACACAGCAACTTCAAACACCTTGCTATTTTGTTGTACAGTTGTAAGAACTGGCTTGCAGAACTTGCAGTGTGGCTGGAGTTGGTGTGACTCTTGGAAACAACAGTTACGATGTCCAAGATTTGAGAATGCTACTCAAAAACAAGAGAAAAATGCCAAGGGTATATACAAATGTTTCCTTTTGCTCCAGGTGCTACTCCTTTGCTGAAATGCCATGGTACCAAAGAAAAATAGCTGCAGCGCTATTTGCCACACCACCAACCTCCACCTTTCAAGAGGTACAATATAAAAATGTTTCTCAGATTATTACTCCCCCCACAAAGCTGCTGATATACTTTTCCTATTTTTTGTTTTTACTAATTTTCGTGACAAAGCTGACCTCTGCTTATGGAATAAGCATGGGCTTGTGAGTTTGCAACTGTCATTAATAAAACGAGAATATAACCAGAGAGTGAGGGATATCTAAAACCATGCAAATCTTTACTTTTTTTCAGCTGTGGCACACACAAAACAGTGAAAATTAGTTCATGTAGTTTGTGCAGCAGAAAATAACAAGCTATATGTAACTTAGTTTGTAATTCACTGTAACGATCTATTGCAGATAACTATCTGTACTAGTTCCAGTGCTGATGATTTATATGCTGGTGTTACACCATGTACTTATTTGATAGGACTATTAGAATTTTTCCCTTTATATTAAATGCAGAAAGCAACAGCTTGGTTTGTTACTTGCCACGAACCAATACCTTCTCATTTCCTGGCTATGTGTGGTGTGGCTTTTTTTTCAGTTGAAATTATTTTTGTTCATCTTT